CAAGAGCAGTTATCGAGCTTTCACGCTTTATTCTTTCCGGCTTAGATGTTGCACTTTCCTTGGGTGGGGCTCCTTGGGCTTGCTCCGCTAAGATGCTGTGGCGCAATTTGTACCCTCACCTTACTGGGCAAAACAATTTTTGACGCATATGAACAATTAAAGAGGAGATATTTTTCTACGTCGCGTAATATTTGCTCAAAACCTCAGTTATATCTTCATGCAACAGTACAAAAATTTTAGCATTAAAAATATTTTGCAAACCTGAAAACATCCACAAAGTATGTTTACTGTATAATATTAAAATATTGTGAAAATGAAAAGATTACACTTGAATCGAAGCTTCTTTTTTATTCATTTCAGTTATAATGGCGTTGACATTATAACATTGTTGATAGCTGCATTACATTTTGAAATAACTCATTTGTTTGGTGTTTTGCATTCACCAAATACTTTTCAAAACTTAGTTCACAACATAATCTAAAGAATAAAGGTAAAATAATTTAAGCGGTACGCCAAAACGATTTTAGGTTTTGATCGTTTTCCCGCCAAAATACGCGACATAATAAAAAATCTCCTCTTAATACATGTATATATAAAGAATTTTTATTAATGTTAATATTTTGAATAATAAACTAGCTAGGGGAAATTTTACATCTAGCCCAAAATATCCCAAACTCGTGTAGAGAGTCTTATTCGTTATTACCAATTTCATGCCCAGTAACAAGCTGCGGAAATGCAACATCATGGTATGAAAATATAGCATTGTTGCTACGTTGTATTAATTATCTAGGCGGAATGCATAAATATGAATTTTTCGCTGTGAGTACAAGTACGCTTAAAACAGCAAAGTTTGTTTTTCACCTTGAAATTTTGACGCAGTTTTAAGACAATGATAGTCCTTTATTTTTGCCAATCGTCCTAGCATGGGGCAGTTTTTTTGAAAAGGAACAACTCGTAGTTTATAATGGTGTCTACTTTGTTTCTTTCATGGTTTATTTCGTGTTTTCTGTACGAATACATTTTATGATCGCACATGCAGTATGTCGTTTTGCTCGGTTTTGAGAAGATATAACCGACTATTTAAGACTTTACATGCATCATCGTTTTAACTTCAAAAAGAGTTCTACATGCTGCCGTTAAATGCGGTTTCACTTCACCTACTACGTATAGTAGCTATACATTAAAATGCTCTCACGAAGTTCCATACATAAACTAAGAGTAAATCACATCGTAAATATAATAGTGGAGCATATGTATAAATGCATATTCGAAATGAATCGGGTTCCTCGACCTACGTCACTATGCCCAGTCTTACGGGATATTAGTTTGCCCGGCCAACCAAAATTAAATCGCTATTTTTGGCGACCCAAAATTAAATCGCTATTTTTGATGCAGTTTTGCCTTTCAAAATAATATCAAAAATAACGCAAATCGAACTCGTTCATAAAAAATATGAATAGTAGTAAACTATACTACTTATTTCTGAAATAAAAAAAATTGGTTGATATGCACTTTAAAAGCGTAATTCGGAGTTTTGATATAACAAATATCACTTTAAAGCTTTTATAGAGTCGACTGCAATCGCATGAATTCAGTTTTAATTCAATTTACTGCTTGGTTACTTATATTATTTGCGCTGTTTTGATGTTTTTAAGGTTTAGCTATAGGGAAATATATATATATTTTAAAATTAACTCTCACTTAAACTGTGAAAATCTATAACTTCATGCAACGTAATACAACAGGAAAACGGTTGATTTCACTTCACCTTTTAATACGATTGTGTTTGTTTCCGAATCATCAGGTATAGGCTTTACATTTGAGTCATTTCAAAATATCGAAGGTTAGGTCTAGCTAGCTCAGAAAATATTGGGGTTGCTGCATGCACGTCTATATAGTTTAATTATTCAAACAAACCACTTTAGAAGTTCACTCTTATTCATCGTGGTAATTGCACTTTGTGTCGTGCAATTTGGTGTGAAATCAAACGCGTGATTAAAAAGTCGAACGACCGCTAAGCGGGAGTGCGATTTGTAATCACAAGTTTGATTTCACACCAAAATTGCACGACACAAAGTGCAATTTCCAGTTTATTATATTCATTTTGAAATCATAGAAAAAATTAAACAAATTGAAAAAGATTTATTGGCTAAAAGAACCATAAACGGTGAAAAATGTGAGTAATTTTCATCTATTTTGGTCAAGAAATTTTGCGGAGCATCTAAAAAATTCAAAGTAATAAAATTTTGTGCCATTTTCCTCTGCAATTTGATTGGATAATTACACCGATATACTAAATTTGATTGGTTATTGTGATGCAGAGCTTTAATCTCATTGGCTTATAAATGATGTGATTAATGCTCAAAAAAGTGATCAGATTGCAAGAAACACCATTGAATTAAAAACGAATGTAATAAATTTGAAAATCTCCTAAATTCTCTTTTCTAAATTGAAGTGCTTCCACAACCTTCTCTCAAATTTTATTTTTGTTTCTTTTCAAAATCAATTTGGAAATTTGTTCTAGCAAAGTTGGCGAAGTTACTGAAAAAATTAGCGTAACATCGTTTAAAGTTGGCTTTGATTTCTTTGTTTGAAACATGGAAAACAAAGCTTATGTTAATAACCCAGGTTCTAGGTGGAAAATAATTACGTATAACGAACACATCTCGTGAGGATTGGTTAGATCCGGATCAATGATTAAATCTTCAGATTAAATCAGGTTCTCGGGGAGATTCCGGGGGAAGAATACATTCTGAACTTCAACCCTAAACATAACCCTAACCCATGGTAATAATCCATGCCCAAAATTCGTGAATATAATAACACCTACCCAAATATTTTCACTCTCCTTTCTTCAAGCTTATCGGTTATATAAGTAAAACTGTCTGAAACGTTGCTACCAATGAAGTTTAACCTTAAGTAGCATCCCAGAAAAAACAATTGATATAAAGTGAAAGCTTTAGGAAAAATATACTCTGGTTTTCCACTGAGCACTTTGTTAAATGTTTTTATAAGCGAAAACATATTTATATATCTCGAATTGGAATTTTTAAAGGCCAGGGTCGAATCAAAGCAATTTTGAATACCACCAGTGGCGTACCTAGCCCAACAATTTAGACATGTGTTCGCGATACACTGAGGTTCCACAACAAGTAGAGTGTTTCTTAGCGAGCCTGCCAGCTAGCTTACGGGCTTCCGTGCATGCAGCAGCATTTTAATTAATTCATCAAAGCGACGAAGAGGCGCAAGGCAAACCTCACAACTCTTGAACAAGAACACAAACAGCTGGTTAGAAACAAGACTCAGTTCTTCCCGTAAACTTATCGCATTCTTGTAATACGGAGGTGCTTCTTCATTCCTATCCCAAATTAAATATAAGTTACCTATAGATAGAGTTTATAGAGTATATAGAGTATACCCTTGCAACGACAAAGCTGTTCCGTAAAATAATTCCGCGCAGTTCATGTATTCATTTTATATTTTTCTTCAATTGTCTTTGTCACACTCTTTCTTAGCACGGCTCTTTTTCAGCTTTTCAAGGTTTGTCAACATAATTTTATGCTAATGTGCCTGGGCCACTTTCTCAATATTACTTGGTTCTTTGCTATCAGGTGAAGGCAGAAGATGATCTTTCAGAAGGTCAGAACAGCGTTGATTTATTGTTCTGCTAAAGGCAGAGTGAGCGAAAAACAAAACATGTTTAAGGTCGTCTTTCAAAACGTCTTTATTCTTCTAAAATGCTGCTTTGATTTTTCTTTCTTTTTTTAGCGATTCTCTGTCGCTAAATCCGTTCTGTGAATACTAATTCATAGTCGAAAAAAAAAAACTTTGCAGACTACAAATATATAAAACTTCTACGATCTATCTACGCTATTTTACTTAGACAAAATTAATAGGTTTTATATAGGAGTTAATAAAGGCGAGCCTGAAACTGAGCAATTCACGATGAGGCGTGTTATAATAAAATGAGGCTAAAGTGAAAATAGGCTGCATAGTATATATGAACAAATTCATCTTGGTTGCCGAGAGAGGCCATTAAAAGTAAATGCTATACTTTTGGGTAAGAATGGTAATTCCTAAAAGTTAAAAATATTTTTATAAATTATTGCAGGTGTGTAACTTTAATTAAACAACAAAAGTTTCTGTTTTTACAACGATGTGTATGAAAAGTCCACAAATTCTTTTCGTTTACGTAGTTTGACCTTCATAATGGGAAAAAATCGCGATAGTTCCTCAGTTGCTTCTTTCATCTACGTTGACATATGATAATATATCTTAATCCGAACGACCGATTATTCTCGATTGATGAAAGAATTCCTCAGGGCTTCGTGAGCATATGGTCTCTTGTCAATGGTGTGACTAATCAGCCACGAAACAAACCTTCGAGATTTACGATCGCCAAGCTTCATTAAATTGACTGGATTTGCATCAAAAATATTTTTCATTCGATCTAATGTAATACCGTGCAGACGCTTTGTAAACTTTTTCTCAATCACATTAAATATGCAAGGTGCACCGCGCAAATGCTACGTGACATCTTTGATATTAACTTATTCCGAACGAAAAATTATCAAATTTTAACTATTTTGTAACTATTACCTTTTCTAAAAGGTTGTAATCCATTTTTTTCAACTTCGATGTTTTACGGACCTTTTGAGGTTATTCGCAATTTCATCATGACCAAGATAAATACACCATTCAAGAAGACTCATTTGCCTTCCTTCAAAAAGAAATGTTCCTGCTCTCCATACGGCGCTGTTCTTTTCCAACAGAAGATTGACCAAAACAACAGATTTTTTTACGATAGCCATCTTCAGAAGGTCAATGCCAAGTGTGTGAGTGCCGATTTTACCTTTAAGAGTAATGTCAGCATCCTGTTCAACTAAGTACTTGACAATTTCTAACGCACGAGTATCGACAGCAACGTGCAAGACTGTCCATCCATCTGCACCTCTTCTATTTACATCAGCTCCACTTTCAACAAGATATTTTACCATTTCTAGCGTACCTGCAGTAACAGCATCGTGAAGCACAGTCACTCCGTCTTTGTTCTTGCCATTTATATCAGCTCAATTTTCAACAAGATATTCTATTATTTCTAGCGTACCTGCAGTAACAGCATCGTGAAGCACTGTCACTCTGTCTTTGTTCTTGCCATTTACATCAGCTCCAGTTTCAACAAGATATTTTACTATTTTTAGCGTACCTGCAGTAACAGCATCATGAAGCACTGTCACTCCGTTTTGTTCTTGCCATTTACATCAGCTCCATTTTCAAGAAGATATTCTACTATTTCTAACGTACCTGCAGTAACAGCATCATAAGGCACTGTCACTCCGTCTTTGTTCTTGCTATTTACATCAGCTCCTTTTTCAACAAGATATTTCACTATTTCTAACGTACCTGCAGTAACAGCATCACGAAGCACTGTCACTTCGTCTTTGTCCTTGCCATTTACATCAGCTCCATTTTCAACAAGATATTCTACTATTTCTAGCGTACCTGTAGTAACAGCATCATGAAGCACTGTCACTCCGTCTTTGTTCTTGCCATTTACATCAGCTCCTTTTTCAACAAGATATTTTACTATTTCTAGCGTACCTGCAGTAACAGCATCATGAAGCACTGTCACTCCGTCTTTGTTTTTGCGATTTACATCAGCTCCTTTTTCAACAAGATATTTTACTATTTCTAGCGTACCTGCAGTAACAGCATCATGAAGCACTGTCACTCCGTCTTTGTTCTTGCCATTTACATCAGCTCCATGTTCTACAAGATATTTCACCATTTCTAGGCTACCTTTAATTACAGCATTGTGCAGCACGGACACTCCGCAAGTGTCCTCGCCATTTACATCAGCTCCATTTTCAACAAGATATTTTACCATTTCCAGCGTAACAGCATAATGCAACACTGTCCACCCATCAGTATTCTTGCCACTCACATTAGCACCATTTTCGACAAGAGATTTTACTATTTCTAGCGTACCTGCAATAACAGCATCGTGAAGGACTGTCACTCCGTCTTTGTTCTTGCCATTTACATTAGCTCCATGTTCTAGAAGACACCTCACCATTTCTAGGCTACCTTTAATGACAGCATTGTGGAGCACGGACACTCCGCCGGTGTCCTCGCCATTCACATCAGCTCCATTTTCAACAAGATATTTTACTATTTCAAGCGTACCTGCAGTAACAGCATAATGCAACACTGTGCACCCGTCAGTATTCTTGCCATTAAAATTAGCACCCTCTTCAACAAGATATTTTACCATTTCTAGCGTCCCTTCAGTAACAGCATAATGCAACACTGTCCACCCGTCAGTATTCTTGCCATTAACATTAGCACCCTCTTCAACAAGATATTTTACCATTTCTAGCGTCCCTTCAGTAACAGCATAATGCAACACTGTCCACCCGTCAGTATTCTTGCCATTCATATTAGCACCCTCTTCAACAAGATATTTTACCATTTCTAGCGTACCTTCAGTAACAGCATAATGCAACACTGTCCACCCGTCAGTATTTTTTCCATTCACATCGGCACCATTTTCGACAAGATATTTTACCATTTCTAGCGTCCCTTCAGTAACAGCATAATGCAACACTGTCCACTCGTCAGTATTCTTGCCATTCATATTAGCACCCTCTTCAACAAGATATTTTACCATTTCTAGCGTCCCTTCAGTAACAGCATAATGCAACACTGTCCACCCGTCAGTATTTTTGCCATTCATATTAGCACCCTCTTCAACAAGATATTTTACCATCTCTAGCGTCCCTTCAGTAACAGCATAATGCAATACTGTCCACCCGTCAGTATTCTTTCCATTCACATCAGCACCATTTTCGACAAGATATTTTACCATTTCTAGCGTACCTTCAGTAACAGCATAATGCAGCACTGTCCACCCGTCAGTATTCTTTCCATTCACATCAGCACCATTTTCGACAAGATATTTTACCATTTCTATCGTACCTTCAGTAACAGCATAATGCAACACTGTCCACCCGTCAGTAATTTTTCCATTCACATCAGCACCATTTTCGACAAGATATTTTACTATTTCTAGCGTACCTGCAGTAACAGCATCGTGAAGCACTGTCGACACTCCGTCTTTGTTCTTGCCATTTAGATCAGCTCCATGTTCTACAAGATATTTCACCATTTCTAGGCTGCCTTTAATGACAGCATCAAGAAGCACTGTAACTCCCTTTTTGTTCTTGCCATTTACATCAGCTCCATGTTTTACAAGATATTTCACCATTTCTAGGCTACCTTTAATGACAGCATCGTGAAGCACTGTCTCTCCGTCTTTGTTCTTGCCATTTACATCAGCTCCATTTTCAACGAGATATTTTACTATTTCTAGCGTACCTGCAGTAACAGCATCATGAAGCACTGTCACTCCGTCTATGTTCTTGCCATTTACATTAGCTCCATGTTTTACAAGATATTTCACCATTTCTAGGCTACCTTTAATGACAGCATCATGAAGCACTGTCACTCCGTCTTTGTTCTTGCCATTTACATCAGCTCCATGTTTTACAAGATATTTCACCATTTCTAGGCTACCTTTAATGACAGCATCATGAAGCACTGTCACTCCGTCTTTGTTCTTGCCATTTACATCAGCTCCATGTTCTACAAGATATTTCACCATTTCTAGGCTACCTTTAATTACAGCATTGTGCAGCACGGACACTCCGCAAGTGTCCTCGCCATTTACATCAGCTCCATTTTCAACAAGATATTTTACCATTTCCAGCGTAACAGCATAATGCAACACTGTCCACCCATCAGTATTCTTGCCACTCACATTAGCACCATTTTCGACATGAGATTTTACTATTTCTAGCGTACCTGCAATAACAGCATCGTGAAGCACTGTCACGCCGTCTTTGTTCTTGCCATTTACATTAGCTCCATGTTCTAGAAGACATTTCACCATTTCTAGGCTACCTTTAATGACAGCATTGTGGAGCACGGACACTCCGCCGGTGTCCTCGCCATTTACATCAGCTCCATTTTCAACAAGATATTTTACTATTTCAAGCGTACCTGCAGTAACAGCATAATGCAACACTGTCCACCCGTCAGTATTCTTGCCATTAAAATTAGCACCCTCTTCAACAAGATATTTTACCATTTCTAGCGTACCTTCAGTAACAGCATAATGCAACACTGTCCACCCGTTAGTATTCTTTCCATTCGCATCAGCACCATTTTCGACAAGATATTTTACCATTTCTAGCGTACCCTCAGTAACAGCATAATGCAACACTGTCCACCCGTCAGTATTCTTTCCATTCACATCAGCACCATTTTCGACAAGATATTTTAATATTTCTGGCGTACATGCAGTAACAGCATCGTGAAGCACTGTCACTCCGTCTATGTTCTTGCCATTTACATTAGCTTCGTTTTCGACAAGATATTTTACCATTTCTAGCGTACCTTCAGTAACAGCATAATGCAACACTGTCCACCCGTCAGTATTTTCTCCATTCACATCAGCACCATTTTCGACAAGATATTTTACTATTTCTAGCGTACCTGCAGTAACAGCATCGTGAAGCACTGTCGACACTCCGTCTTTGTTCTTGCCATTTAGATCAGCTCCATGTTCTACAAGATATTTTACCATTTCTAGGCTACCTTTAATGACAGCATTGTGCAGCACGGACACTCCACATGTGTCCTCGCCATTTACATCAGCTCCATTTTCGACAAGATATTTTACTATTTCCAGCGTACCTTCAGTAACAGCATCATGCAGGATTGTCGCTTTCGCTGTATTCTTTCGATCAGCAATGAAAACCTAAATAGTAAGTCTTAATCTCAATAAAAATGTTCTATTTAACAAGAGAATATTATACAAAAGATGAATTGATTGACCTGATCGTTTCGCAATATCAAGATAATCGAAAAGCATGCAACTTTCAACTTTGGATACCAATAAAATTATGTGTGCGGCCGGAAAAAGGAATCAAGCGGTTTAATATTTTAAACTAAAAGTTGATTTGACGATTTTGCTCAAAGTATTCTTAGTGTTTAGGCTTCCGGCTCCCAAACAAGACGAAATTTTCACCGGTGCACGCTAAAAAATTTGTGAAAGGGACCACGCGGTAGGGGGATTCTTTCTTTTGTTTTAAAAATTTGAGTTTTTCTCGTTTATTGCTGTAAAGATTCTAGCTTTTTCAGTTCCTTTTTTACCATTCTTCATTCTCTTCCCTGTTTTAGATTTGAAAAATAGCTAAAGGCAAATTAATCGTTAGTTCTACTTAAATTAAAACACGTAAGGGTCTAATATTCGTTTCAAATTTTCTAGTACTAATATTAGACTTTTAGCACTACATTTAAAATCAATACAATATAATTTGAACATCTTTGGCATCTATAGAACGGTGGATTTTAAGACTAAGATATTCATCATAAAATATTCACAGGTGTTACGAATTTGTATAAATGTAGGGGCAATATATTCCACGAAAATCGGCATCTACCTAAAATGAGTAATAGAATACAACCCTATAAGCATAATTCTAAATTCAAAAACTTGTAAAAATGATTCTAAATTACCTTTGCCACGTCTTCATTACCACTTGCGTCCAAATTCTGACATTCGACTTCCTTCAAACGTGTAGTGGATTCTATCAATCTAAAGAATAAAAGTTAAAAATATTTAGCTTAGCTTCTAGTAAAAATTTATTTGTCAGACAAACGCTCATGGTTTATTGACACCAGTGCTAATTCTACCTCATCACCCGCTGCGCTTAGTGATCACGTGAGAAGCATAGCGACCTCGCGACATTAATCAGTGTATAACGATCCTTTTTGCGACTAACACGTCTTTATCGCAGCTCTCGAAATTTGTGATTTTTTCATTCAAGTTGTAGAAAAAATGAGTTCAGAAACTCCTGAGATTACTGTGTCTCAAGATTCAGATAATTCTCAGCGTTCCAGTGTTATCACGGACGCTGAGACAAATAATGTTCTTTTGTCCACAATGCAAGCATTGCTAAAGGGCATGACTGAAATGTCGCAGGCATTCAAAAAGTCGCAGCAAGACGACGACGATTCGTGGCTTGACGACGAAGTGGATGATGGTGGTGAACCACAAGCTAAGAGACCATGTCTGGAAACCTCGGTTTCGCAATTACTTTCGTCCGCAGTTACGAACGACGGTCCCTCCACTTCTGCCGAAAGCGGGCAACCTATGACGGTCGAAAGCGCTCAAGCACAACCGAGCACATCATCGATCCTCGACAACATTGCACAGGAACTCCAAATGGAGGAACCATGTGCTCCACGGGTCCACGATCAACTCGCGACGATCGTCAATAATTTGGCGCGCGAGAGATTGCCTGACGATACAGTTGCAACGAAGTACAAACTGAACGATCGACCGGAAAATTGCGGTGCGCTGGTGCCGGTCAAAGTTAACCCCCCTATATGGGACAAACTTAAGTCCGAAACCAGGTCTAGTGACTTGAGGTTTCAAAAAATTCAAACGGCGTTAAACAAAAGTTTATTTGCCATGGTTCAGGTTACAGATTGCCTGACCAACTCACTCGCGGCCTCTGCGGAGAAAACGAATCTCCCTAATACAGAAGATCTGGTCCGAAAAATGATGGACGCCGTGGCTTTTGCGACATACGCCAACCACGAATTGAACAACAAGCGCCGCGAGTGTATCAAACCGGAGCTACACCAAGATTTTCGGCCCCTGTGCTCAACCTCGAATCCTGTCACTACGTGGCTTTTTGGGGATGACTTGTCGAAACAAGTCAAAGACATGACTGAGGTCAACAAAGTTGGTCAGCGCGTGGCCCAAAGTCGGTTTCAAGAGAAATCGTCGACTTTTAGCTACAAGTCAAAGGCTCCAAGAGGGGGTCGTCACGGCCAGAATAATTTTTTCGACCGGCGCCGCCACCATCAGCACAGGAAGAGAGGGAATTCCACACCCTTGCTACCACGTCAGTAACCGTGAGTAATCCTTCATCATTACCTTTATCTCAGGTCTGCGCCGCAAAAATTGCTGGCAGGCTAAAATATTTTTTGCCCGAATGGGCCAAGCTCACCTCAGATAAAACGATTTTAGATTGTGCCGCGCATTATCATATTGATCTTATTGACAATGTATCTCCTATCCAACATACCGTTCCGAATCAGATTTCGTTCTCTGAGCCTGAACGGCGGGTAATTGACACTGAAGTGTCGAAATTGTTGGCAAAAGGGGTCATAGAACCCTGTGTGCCTGAATTGGGCGAATTCATTTCTACTGTCTTTTTGCGTCCTAAGAAAGACGGAACTTACCGCATGATCCTCAATTTAAAAAGGCTTAATAGCTTTGTTGAATACCACCATTTTAAGATGGACACATTAACAACGGCAATTAAAATGATGAGACCGGGCTGTTATATGGCATCTGTCGACTTGAAAGATGCCTATTATACTGTGCTCATTGCTCCAGAGCACCAAAAATTTTTGAAATTCTTTTGGCGTGATGGAATGTATAAATTTACGTGCTTGCCAAATGGGTTAGCTTGCGCGCCAAGAGTTTTTACCAAGTTGTTAAAACCTTTATTTGCAACCCTAAGGAAACTCGGCCATTTGTGCTTTGGTTATATCGATGATACGTATCTTCAGGGAGATACTATCACTGAATGCTCTAGTACGATTGAGGCTACGGTAGCATTATTCACAAAAGTTGGGTTCATTACACACCCAGACAAATCCGTCTTACAGCCAGTACAGAGGCTGGTATTTCTCGGGTTTATACTAGACTCATTGCTCATGCTTGTGCGTCTCACACCCAACAAAGCAACTAAAGTCAAAGATATGTGTTTGAAACTAATTTCAACCACTTTTCCGTCCCTTCAGGAACTTGCTGAAGTTATTGGTCTAATAGTGTCCAGTTTTCCGGGCGTAATGTACGGCCCTTTATATTATCGCGCTCTTGAATCAGCTAAGAGCGCTGGGCTTCGAGCCGCCAAGGGAAACTATTCATTTAAAATTGCCCTGCCTCCTGAGGCAAAACAAGAATTACAATGGTGGGTTGTTAATGTAGAATCAGCCATCAATCCTATAAATCGTGACCCTCCACACAAGTGTGTTCAATCTGACGCCTCTCTTCTTGGCTGGGGCGCCGTATGTGAGGGTGTTACCACCGGGGGTCGCTGGTCTGAGGCGGAAAGTACGCTCCACATTAATGTGCTAGAACTGAAAGCAGCTTTATTTGCTTTGCAGTCCTTATGTAAAACTGATGCTAATATTCATATTCAAATGCAACTTGATAACACAACTGCTGTTGCTTATATTCAGTCAATGGGAGGCAGTAAATCTCCCCCATGCAATGAAATCGCTAAACAGATTTGGCTATGGGCAATTGACCGCAATATCTGGCTCAGCGCGACACATTTACCGGGTGCGCAAAATGTTATCGCCGACAGAAAGTCGCGTAATTTTAGCGATAACACTGAATGGATGCTTGATCCAATTGTATTCCAAACTATTACAACTTATTTTGGCATGCCTAGCATCGACTTATTTGCCTCGCGCCTTGCAGCCCAGCTTACTCCGACGCTTCCTGGCAGCCCGACCCTAATGCTAAGTTTATTGATGCACTTTCTATCAATTGGCATCAATTTGAATTACTCTATGCATTTCCACCGTTTAGCATGATAGCCAACTGTTTACAAAAACTGGATCTGAACGCGACCACGGGCATATTTGTTCTCCCTCTGTGGCCAACCCAACCTTGGTCTTCGCGTGCGCTGCAAATGCTAGTAGCCAAACCATTGCTCCTACCCCAACGCATCGACCTTCTCCGCCTTTCGAGCAGTCAAACTCGTCATCCTCTTGCCAAGAAAATGCGACTGATGGCTTTAAAGTTATCGAGCAATCTTTCCGAACAAGAGGCCTTTCGCCTGACGCTATCGCCATCATTCTCAACTTTTGGCGAGATGGGAGCAGGAAGCAGTACCGAGGCTATCTTAAACGATGGATTCAATTTTGTGGTGAAAGGAAGATTGATCCAGTTCGAGCGCCTTTAGCGCAGGCGTTAGATATTTTGACGGCTTTGTACAACAAGAATGGCCTGGGTTATAGCGCATTGAACACTGCCAGATCAGCTTTGTCCTCGGTTCTAATTTCTACGGAATATGATTCATTTGGCTCTCATCCATTAGTCATTCGTTTCATGCGCGGGGTGTATAACTCGAGACCAAGTTTACCTCGATATACTGAGATTTGGGATGTCCGTATCGTGTTGGACAAATTAAAAGAAATGTCGCCCAATTCATCCCTATCATTAAAAGATCTAACTTATAAACTTGTCATGTTGATTGCTTTGGTGTCCGCTCAAAGAGGACAAACTATCCATTTACTGAATACTCACAACATGACGGAAAATGATTCCTCCTTCTCGTTCACAATACCGGAACTGACAAAAACAAGCAGACCAGGGGATCCCGCCAAGGTCATAAAGTTGATGGCATTTGCCCCAGATAGGTGTTTATGTGTTTATGACTGTTTGAAAGAGTATATACAACGCACAGGTACTTTGCGGTCCGATGATGGACAGCTCTTTATCAGCTATATTAAGCCGTACAAGAAAGTCAGTCGGGAAACAATACGACGTTGGCTCAAACACGTTACACTGTAAATCTCGGAGTGTTGGCACAACACCGAAATCGGTGTAAAATCTTGCAGCAATATGAACACTAATATGGTGTTTATTTACGCTATATTTTGGGTTAATTTACACTATTCATGGGTAGAATTTATGCAGCTATGGGTACACTATGGCGATGTAAATATACACCATTAGCGTAAACTAACACCTCTATAGGTTTTCCTACACCTATTTCGCGTAAAAACGCTTGCAGCAATATGAACACCAACTTCGTGTATAAATACACCGCGAGAGTAAACTTACCCCTCCCAAGGTTTTTCTACGCCTATTTAGTGTAAACGTGCTTGCAGCAATATGGACACCGACCTAGTGTATAAATACACCGCGAGGGTAAACTTACCCCTCCAAAGGTTTTTCTACGCCCATTTAGTGTATACGTGCTTGCAGTAATATGGACACCGATCTGGTGTATAAATACACCGCGAGGGTAAACTTACCCTTCCAAAGGGTTTTCTACGCCTATTTAGTGTAAATATGCTTTAATATAGACACCGATCTGGTGTATAAGTACACCAAAAGAATAAAAATGCTCTTCTAAACAATGGCCCGGTGCCACGAAATGAATTAATTCTAGTGCAGTGGTAAGGTAAAAACATATTTATTTTATATGACAGAATATATTACATATTATATTGTACATAACAAATTTACAAACCAGCTATATAACATGGACTTATGCCTAATACTTCATGTTCACTGTTCCAGTTCATTTAAGAATAAAACTTTGGTTGGCACTCTTACCCGGTCAAAAATATTTAGAACAGTACGTTGTAAAAAAAGGAACGTGTTAAAACACTGTTTCGGGTACTCTAAATTACAAACATAATACAAAAACAAAAGGGACGATACTGCTGAAAAAATGTTATCTGTTTCCAAACAAACTTGTTTTTCCCCTGCAACAAACATTTTGTTCATTATGTGACCATCACTGTCCTCCACGAAGATGATGAATGGGCTGATGGGGCTGGCAGCTTTCTTCAACAATACCTCTGGGTTTTCTGCTGTCTACATTTGAAATAAAATTTTTTTTAAAAAATCATAACAAAGTCTTCATATTAAAACTATTCATGATTGACCACTTAACAGACCACTAGCTTACACTTATCATGACAATACATTTTTCCAAAAGGTGGTGTAATAACATTGATAAGCATTGACAAGGTACTAAAGTATATTATACATACCTGATAAAGGAAATTTTCTGGATGTGGATTACTTTTTGTTTTCCTTTCCAAAAGGTGTGGCAAGGTACAAAGTGCCACAACAACTTTCTCATCTAGGAACAAAGAAAAAATTACATAATTAATCTTAATTATTGCTCTGACTGTGTTAATAAAGAAGGAGAATAATCACAATAGGGTGTATATATTGAAACCACACACAGCATAATAATTAACTTTTGATAGAAAATATATTCATTTAAATGAGTATCAATGGGATTACCATCTGTCAATCTGTTCTCCTCATCCAGTTCATCCTCATTTTGTACGCAAGCTTGAACCAGTTCTTCAAGTTGAGGGAGTTTCTTCTTGCTGGCAGCTTTCAAAATCTTAGGTGCAAGCTCACGTAAGTTTGTAACAACCAAATCTTTAACACTACTGCCAGACACCAATCTTTCATACTCATCTTGTAACTATAAAAATCAATATAAGTTATAAGAGTAATTTAAAAGTAACTTATCAATCATATTACCCAGTGCCGGATTATATGTTTATGCACAGATATTACTAACTATATAATACTAACCTGATCATGTTCAAATAAAAAAGGGTATTTCGCATCAATTTCATTAAGGGAACACTTCCCAGCATTTATGTACTTTCTTCTGAAGGAGAAAGTCAGTTGCATTTTCTGCTTAACGACTTCCATGTTTGGGTGCTTTTTTCGGTACTCCTTCTGCATCCATTGAACATGGGCTTTGTTAGAATGTAGGTCCTCACCATCAACAGCAGGAGGTTCCCAATTTATTATTCCCCTTCGGCTGCTTCCTGGCACCTTAGCTGTCAAATCCGAGCCTTCAATTGACTTTCTTTTTCTTGCTAGCACAACTGGATCACTCCTTTCATGCCTTAATTCATTTTTAACTTTATCGCCTAACTGACGATACCAGGTTTCCTAAGGAAAAATTATATGGTCTCAGTATTTTTCATTAATACATGGTTTCAGTATTAACATACAAAGCAACAGTGTTTTCCCCTTCACATGTAAATCATCTGGCATCAGATATCAGGCCATGATGGGATTTCAATAAGGCTTGTGAAATAATATTGGTACATGAACTTTTCACAATCATAGTCCAATACATAATAAGCCACAGGAAATGTTAAAAAAGAGCAAACAAATAATTGCAAAAAAATAATGCTAAATCATTAAAATATTACTTACATAGCTGCCACCAACATCTGCCAAGGAAGGATATTTTGATATAATTGCCCTACATACATCACGGCGTTGGTCAGGTGTTGGTGAACTAAAATGTATTAAAATGAATAAAATTAAATAACAAAGAATTCAGTTTAATGTGTCCTACATAAGCAAACCTACATACTGTAGCCCCAGAAGTGCTGGTCACTTCACTTTCATGCAACACAGTAAAAATAAGTATACATACATTGTAAAAAGGCATATCTTGTCATAAATCGCCTGGATAAATTTCACACGAATCAACTTTGGTAAGGCTATATTCTTTGACAAGGCTTCTTGTACAGCTGGGGGAAATCGTTCAGGTAGGCAAAATGGTGTAACCCAGGTTTTTCTTACAGTGGAGCAATCATTCCTAAAAAGAATTAATTTTGTGGATAATTCGTTAAGTCTTAACCTATTAAGCATTATTACTGAAACAGGGGGGGGGTTAGGGGGTATTTACACACTGCTAGAAGTCACAGATAAACAGATAATTTGCAACTGTGAATTATGCTTTCAAAATTAGGCTAAACTTGCTTTACATGTTTTGAAATTGTTACATCTTAGTGAAGTAACGATCAGTTACATAAATAAGGACACCTGAATGTATACTCGATTTATACACATACCTTGGTATTGGCGAAGAACAACGAGGCGAATCTTGATCTTTAGAGTTATTTGGGCATTCTAAATCCCAAGGCAAACGTGACAAGCTACCACTGTTGCCGCTTTCAACAGACTCAGAATCACTCCTAACCATCTTCTTAATAACGCCTAAAAGCTTCATTCTTGGCCCAACTTTGTCGACAAGAGACTCGAGTGCATTCTCAGATAAAAGAGCGAGCGCTTCACCGTCAACATCCTCTTCTAGTTTCACAAATACAAATACAAACAGGAATTTATATTGTGACGAGTGATATGAACGCTAATATAATCAATCGGAACAACAAATAAACTAAATTGAGAATCTAAATAAGTAAAAGTGAACTAGCTCTGTAGGCTATAAACAACGATTAGCTTGGAGTATTTATCTCTATAATAAAACTCACCGATAAATTTATCACTAAACGTTTCAAATCCATTGAGTTTAAGCCATTCCGATACTTCTTCGCACGAATAAGCGATGGATGGGACCTTATCCATTATCGGAATTTCAAAAATTTTGTGATGCCGATATAAATAACAATGTTTCAACTTTCAACTGTCAAGAGTCAACACGTGTTGTATATAATCACTTATCTGTGTATATAACCCCAGTGTTTGTAAATAGGTTTGCAGTAATCACTATTGGTTTGAATCGCTTATTGGTCGGATTGTCTGCATTGTCTGAAACGTGATTGGTTTAGAATAGTGCGTTACGATTGGTCAAAGAAAATATCAACTTATAATTATCCTCTATTCAGCTGAAGCTCTGGCTTACAATATTTTTTAATTAAAATACTTTATCGTAACAATTTGGAACAAAAATGCCCTCGAAAATCGCAAGGTATTTAGGATGCTTTGTGACGTCGAACATATTATATTATACGAACATTATTATATACACAGCATAATCTTGTATCCACCGGCCACTAGTGCATCCTCAGTGAGGGTCATGTTTTCGAAAGTGGAAGCACTGTTATTGTGTTTTTCGAACTTTTGGCATAGATGCAAATATTATTTTAATTTTTTATATTATTTTTATACCAGCATGGTTGGATAATGGCGAGTAGTTTTCTTTGTCCAAAACCGGAGTGTTTTCATCTTTCCTTTACTACATTCAATCGTTTTTTAAACCACCTACGCGATAATCACATTCATGAGCCAGGGTTCAAAATAAAATGTCCAGTGCAGTCATGCTTTCGCTCATATTCTGTTCTCTCCTCTCTAACTTCGCATGTTTCCCGTAAACATGGAAAGGAAAAAGTAATAAATGATGACGTTGGTTCAAGAAATCCCGAAAACGATGCACTAAACCGATTGGATAATACAATCGAATGTATACCGAAGACACCCAAGACAGGAGAGGCTTTCTCAAAGAGACATTTAGCTTTATTTGCCCTAAAGACGCAAGAATTAAATCAACTAACTGACAGTACAACAAACAAGGTGATAGATAATACAACAGAATTACTCCAACAACACGAGGCCCATGTTAAAGAAAAGATTAGACTGTGTTTGGATAAAAGTGGGATTAAAATCAGTGATATTGATGGATTGGGAGTTGTCATGAACTTGGAACAAACACCCAACATGGAATTCCTGAAATCCACTAAGAATAGGAACAATTATATATCTCAAGAATTTAAGATAGTGGTATGTATATAGTAATGTATTTTTTATGTATGGTTGTAAACAATGTCTAACAATGTCTGATTAGTTTATATTAAATGCTGAGTGCATCCTTATCTTACTTATATTTAGAATCCAATTGAGATAGTCCTTGGGGAGAAATATATGTATGATGAGAATACAACGAATGGTTCATCGAAAGTGAAAGTGCATTCATTCCAGTACATATCATTCATCCAGGTCCTTCAACAGCTGCTAAATCAAATTGATGTTTACTCACAGGTCATTATTCATATAACAACTATAAGTGTCCTGGAAATTTATAATATGACTACCATAATAATATGACTACCATATTATGATATAATATATTTTAATTGATATTTTTTTTAGATTGAAAATTCTCATAGAAGTGTTGATGGGAAAATGAGGGACCTTTGTGATGGTGCTGATTTTGGAGTGGGCAAACATCCACTTTTTTCCTTAAATTATAAGGCTATCCAATTAATTTTATATTATGATGACTTCGAAGTTTCCAATCCACTAGGATCAAAAGCTGTTGTACATAAAATTGGTAGGTTTTTTTATTGTCACAAGATCAACAACTTTGCAATATTGGACTTTGATAGTTCAATTGGATTACTTTTTAAAAAAACACTGATCTGTCAATAAACATTTTCATTTTTATTTGCATACTTGCAGGTGCCTTCTATTGGGTGTTAGGAAATTTCCATCCCAAGTATAGATCATGCCTAAAAAATTTGAATCTTTTGATTCTTTGTCCAGTCAAGTGGATTAAGATGTATGGTATGGATAAAGTCCTCAGGCCATTCATGAGTGACCTTGCTATGCTTGAATCAGTAAGTAATGAATTAATACAATACATTTTATTGTGAATATCACCAATTATCAATATATTCAAGATTCCCTATTAAAGAATTTGCCTCAAGCTTGCCAAGAAATATGAGTTATAAATCTAATGCATCTCAAAATGTAATTTTGCTACTTTTTTCAGGAACATGGCGTACAACTCAATATAGCAAATCAAATTATTCCAATTAAAGGAACATTAAGTGTAGTAATTGCAGATAACCTTGGTAGCAATTCAATTGGAGGTTTCATGGAGAGTTTCAGTGCAAATCGGCCGTGTAGGTTCTGTCTGGGCACATCGGTGGAATTTCAAGAAAGGGTAATTTATTAATCATATCACAAATTGCAATGCTACTAAAATATTGTGAATCATGGTATATTAGTACACAGTTTTTTGTAGGAAATGCTATTGATATCATGAGATTTTAATGGGTGTTAATCAATGTTTGTTAATGTATGTTGTTCAGATTTGATTATACCAACCCCAGTATAATATCCAACTATTTAAATTTCCAGTTTTCTGAAGAATTATTCACGATGAGATCCCGAGAAAATTATGCCAGGCAGGTGGATTTGGTTTCCACTGATCCAGAATCAGCTTCTGTATATGGTGTAAAAAAGAACTCAGCCCTAAATGCTTCTAAATATTTCCATGTTGTTGATGGACTTCCTTCTGATATCATGCATGATATCTTAGAAGGTGTACTTCCTTTCCAAATTAAAGCGATGTTGAGAAAATTCATCATGGTGGATAAATTTTTCACACTTGATCAGTTCAACAACGCGCTTTCAGCATTCCCATATGGTGTTTGTGACATCAAGAACAAACCAAGCTTGGTAAAGAATGTCAATCTTAGTGATTACCATTTACGCCAATCAGGTATTTAACTATTTATTTAAGAGTTGCCTTAAACCTGAGGATGACTACATCAATCACCGGTCCCAAGTTCCCATAGTTCTTTTAAAAGTTCTTATAGAATCAGTGTTTAGTCAGTGTTTTGACATAATGCTAGCACTAATTGAGTTATATTTCAGCATCACAAATGTGGTGTCTTTCTAGAATCCTGCCATTTTTGGTTCACAAATGGATACCAGAAGGAAATGATGACTGGGAATTGTTCACTGATTTAATGCATATTGTTGATATATTGTTTGCCCCAGTGATTGAGAAAGGTACTACACTCTATCTTCGGCTCATAATCAGCGAGTATCTGGAACAGTTTAAAAGGCTCTATCCTGAAAGAAAACTTATTCCAAAACAGCATTTCATGGTTCATTACCCAAACCAAATTCTAAGGTATGTCTATATTGATCTGGTTCTCACAGGTGGTGGCTTCAATGCTGAACACCCCAGTACATTTGATAATTTTAATTATTTATTTTATATTTTAGATATGGACCCCTTGTGCGCAACTGGTGCATGCGCTTTGAGGCTAAGCATCATTATTTTAAGCTTTTGGCGCAGACTGTAGGTTGCTTCAAGAATATAGCAAAGACATTAGCTACCAGGCACCAACGGCTTCAGTGTTACTGGCTTAGTGACAGTGATGGCTATTTAAGGAGTGATACTGAGGTTGGACCAGGTTAGTGAACAACAAAAGTGCATACTGGATATTAGCTGGAATTTTGTAATGGTTTTTAGGATGTTAAATGTTGTTATAAGTATCCTTTATTTCTACTTCATGTATTTATTAATATTCTGCTTAGGTAAAGTTTTTATGTGAAGGATCTGGAAGAGAAAGAATGCACCTCACTGTGCCAGTTGGGCAACAATTTGGATCAGAATTCAACTGTGACACTGTAAGTTTGTTCTTATATATGGTAAAAATTATTTAAAACTGGACTGAAAAGTGAAAACTATATTCTTATTCTAGGTTGAATTGGGTGAAAGTCAATGGTTACAAGTACAAAAAGAATATGATCATAGTCTATCAGCAATTAATTTTTCCTGTGTTTCTTTTTATACATAATGTTTTTTTTATGCCAAACATGGATGTTATGTTTTCTTGCAAGAAAGTAAATACAGTTGCTTTTAGCAGGCACATTCATTGCTATGAGGTTGAAGTTTTGGACGAATTTGTGCCCTTATTATTTTCTGGGATGCTAGATCATCATCCTCTAGATCTTTATACCATTATTGTAAATAGAGAATCAAAACACTTCTGTAAGAATGAAGTACGACCTATCTGATGCTGAACAATAGTATACATAGTTAAAGAAATTATTAAACATTAAAGAAATTCAGTAAATAAATGAATTGTCTGACCCATAATACTGTGCCTGCCTGGAAACATTTAACGAAAAAACTGCATGTGCATGCCTGCTTAGGAACATTTGACGAAAACACACGTTTTCGTACCTGGTATACAAATTGTTTGTGACCCAGGGTCTATTGGTCTCTTAGTATGTAGTCAATTCCCATTCGTTTGTATCTATACAACCATATATACTCTTTTATTTTGCAACAAATCAAGCATTTTCCGTCGCGGTCTTAATTTATAAGGCATTGAATTTTGTACACAATTTAGATGTAAGTTTACGCTCTTCAAGTGCAATTTTGAAAACTCATATCGGGTAAATATACACCGTAGACGGTAAATTTACAACGCTCTCGATGTTTAATAACCTTGCTTTTACTTACACCAGATCACGGTACATTCACGTTTTTTTGGTGTATTAATACAAAAACCAAAGTGTAGATATACACTTATCGAGTGTAAGCATATCTTACACTAAATAGGTGTATACTAACGCAACCGTTCAGTGTAATATAACCTGAGCAGTAGGTAAATGTATGCCATTTTTAGGTAAAAAAACACCAAATTTGGTGTAACCTAGGTTTGTTTGTTTTTACACCGAGAAAGTGTTACAGAAACGCTAGCATAGTGTAGAGTTACGCTTTTTAAGTGTATTGCTACACTCCAATGGTGTTTGACTTGGCAAAACACCTAATCGGTGTTATCCTACACCAGTTTCGTGTTGGCGTAACACTGCGAAATTTACAGTGTATGCTATTGTCTGGCATAGATATAAACATTTTTAAACCTCATAGCACTCGAGCAGCATCAACGTCTGCTGCAACACAGGCGGAACAGCCAATTAGTGAGATTCTTAACGTAGCGGGCTGGAGTTCCGATTGTACTTTTGCTAAATTTTATAACAAGCCAATTAAGCCAACTTCAGGCTATGCCGATACTATTTTGTCAACTTGATGTAACAAATGTGATTTTCATTATCGTAACGTTCGCGTTATTTTTTCGAGAGCTTGTATTTTCATATACCGAGATTGCGTGTTTGCATGCTTTAAAGTCTCACGTGATCACTAAGCGCAGCGGGTGATGAGGTAGAATTGAAAAATTAAACGAGACTTACCTGTAAGTCGAAGTTTGATTGTGATTCTGCCGAATCACCCAGAGCGCTTAGGGATTACGTGCCCTCCTCTTAGGATATTTCTCCCACCCGATGGTTTGGTGGTTTGCAATACACGCAATCTCTTCGTTAAAGTCTGATTAAAGTCGCGAGGTCGCTATGCTTCTCACGTAATCCTTATAAGCGCTCTGGGTGATTCGGCAGAATCACAATCAAACTTCGACTTACAGGTAAGTCTCGTTTAATTTTTCAATTTTGTGGCAACCTCAACTCAGAATCAAGGTAAAAGGCCCTGAGAACGAGGTTGAATTTTGTGGCTGAATTAGAAGTTCTTTCAAACCCAAACTTTACTGTTATATCTTATATACATACCTTCGTTTTATATCCTGCTTTGTTTTGTTTACTTCTTCCATGTTCTTTATCTCAATCTCAAATCCTTCTATTTCAACTCCAATCAGTGAAAACTCATCCAGTAAACGTTCTTTCAGCCTTCCAGATTCAAAATCATCCAAAACCTCCAGAAACCTTTCATCTGTAAGACAATGCACTGGAACAAGAAGACATCCTTGCTTGATCTCGCCGAATTTCTGGTCATTTCTTTCATCAACGAAGCCTCTTTTCAGAGCGTGGAGAGTTTTCGCACATGCATAAAATAATTCACCAAGAGTTATACCATTGACACCCATACCTTCAAGCGCATGTAACTTTTCAGTCGTAAGTTTAAATTCCATAATACCACCATAGCTGCTAGTTACATTCGGAAGAAGAGCACCGAGTGCTGCGAGCCCACGAATTCCTTGCTCATTTGCTGAACATTCTGTGTAAGAGAAAAATTTAAAAAGAATTAACATATGGTTATAGAATTTTTCAGAAATATAATAAAAATTGTGAATTACTATTATATTTGAAAAATTGTTTTTTATTGAGCCTTCGACTCGGTACTTCGAATCTTCTTCAGAATATAAATTATTTACATGTGTCTATAGCTTTATATATTTAAGTTTCGCGCTGTTCTTTATAATTAAGACTCTGTATACGTTGAGAGCGTCTGATTGGTTGTTTTGAAGTTGATCTGATATCAGTGGTAGTTGAGGGATGCGTTGTCATGGTTGACTGCATTTCGTTGTCACGGATGGTTGCTGTGAAATGATTAGATTGTTGTGTATCAGATGCGGGTGGATTTAAGTTATTATTAGTTATATTAATGTGATTATTGATAGAGTCCTTACGTTTTGTCTTAAGTTGCAGATAGACTGCAAAAATGTCGATATGTCTGTTACGACAACTTTCACACCTTCGCTTGGGCAAAAACTGAACTACTGGGACGAGCACAAACAAAACACGCACGTGAATTCAAAGAAGCTTGGTTTAGTACAGACGGCAATACTATTAACAGACATATCGACACTCCTGCAGTCTATCTGCAACTTATAAGACTCTATCAATAATCACATTAGGACTCTATCAATAATCACATTAATATAACTAATAATAACTTAAATCCACCTGCATCTGATACACAACAATCTTAATCATTTCACAGCAACCATCCCTGACAACGAAATGCAGTTAACCATGACAACGCATCCCTCAACTACCACTCATATCAGATCAACTTCAAAACAACCAATCAGACGCTCTCAACGTATACAGAGTCTTAAAGAACAGCGCGAAACTTAAATATATAAAGCTAGACACATGTAAATAATTTATATTCTGAAGAAGACTCAAAGTACCGAGTCGAAAACTCAATAAAAACGCGTTAATAGAATAGAATAAAAGTAAACCAAGACAGTAAAAATTTCAAAACATATAGATTACTGTACAGTTTGGTACGTGAAGCTATGCTTAGACGCACTCTTCAGATCTAAAATGTCTGATGTCTGATATATATATATATATATATATATATATATATATATATATATATATATATATATATATATATATATATATATATATATATATATATAATTACGTTATCAAAAAGGTTGTCCCGATCAGTACATATAGAAATATATAAATATCAATCACGTGACCATTAAACATGGCTTATTTTGATCATTTATCACTTGTTTCTTTATTATTACAATATTGTTCACCTTACTATGACATTTCAGAAATTTTTACGACAGATTTCCAACAATTTCTCATAAAATTAACGTATGTAGTAAAATCACGTGACCGATATTTACGTATTTATATATATGTTTCCATATAACAACCTTTTTGATAACGACTGTATATATATATATATATATATATATATATATATATATATATATATATATAATTATACGTGTGTATATATAGTATATCCCGGTATAGCGTTTAATACAGGCGTTGTATGATGAATAGACCGTCTAAATATTTTTTATTTTTAGTCTACTCAATATAAACATCTGAATTCTGCAAAATTTCAAATTACACTTACAGTTCAAAGCAACATCGCCTCGGCTCCTTTTTATATCTAATAAATATATACTGTACACCGCCAAAATGATTTTGGTGCGTACTGCATCGAATTTCCGGCTTTATAGTTTATAATGTCAAATAATTTATGTGCTGTGTGAAGAATCAACATTTATATTCACGTAAGAGACGTCTATACATAAACGAACAGCGTTGTTTCTTCCTAATTATACCCAAATTATATCTTCTGTATATGCGCCTACTTGAATCACGTGATTGAACTCATAACACAAATCTATGTATCGCGTAGATTCTCGAGGACGTTTGACTGATTGACTCAGAGGTTACAACAAAATTTCAAAGAAACTTTGTTGTGAATTGAAGTGTTAGTTTCTAGAACTTTAATAGCAAATAATATTTATTCATTGTCATAACTACCTGTCCCTGAAGTCTGATTCTTAATAACATTCTTCATTTCTTGAAGTTCTTGTAAAACACATTCTTGAGAGTCGTTCAACGTTATTATTCTATCCTCTACCCTTTCTTTAAGAAATTTTTGGTTCTCCAGTTCAACGGCCCTTATTTTTTTAATCAACTCGTTAACTCTTTCAGTTGGAAATTCTGCTTCATCAAGGCTATCAATATGATCAATTTGACCTGTTGAGAATTTAACAGCAGTAAAAGCATCCTTAGCAAGTTGAACATAGGTATTGAAAGCAGGTTTTTCTATGCTAGACTCGGGCAAGTGACAAATTTGGTTTCTAAGCAGTCGAATTTGGTCGATTGCTAAAGTTATAGTTTCATCCTGGTTCCCAGTTGTACTGATTAGCGAGGCATGAAAAGGACTGGGTTTCTTTCCCTTTATAAATTGATCGCTGAGCGTCTTGACAGTCGTTGGCGTAGAGATTGCAAAGGTCTTGGAGTAAATAGTTGCCTTGAACAAGGCTGTACAATCCCAATCCTTGTACGATTTACTAGTTGGTATGTGAGTTGTGCCGCCTTCGCTAGTCTTAAGAAGTGTGCGGACTGCGGGTGAGTCGTCCCAAACTTGGTAACCTGGCAACGGTGCAATCTTCGAATTCCACAATTTCTCAAATGTCGAACGTAGCATATTTGGAAATTCATCGTGAACGATGGATGCAAATTTGAAGAAATTCAATTCTTCTTTTGAAAAGGGTTTTGCTGCCATTTGGATGCTACTTCATGAGATATACCAAAGAATAAAGAAATTTCTTTCCTACATAAAAAAGACACAGTTCTTACCATAGTGGACATTTGATTACTTTTAGGCCGCGTTTACACTACGTGCTTTGACCTGGCCTGGACCTGACCAGGACCCGACCTGGGGCAAGATTTTAGTAATGTGAACAGGCTCTACCTAGTCCTGACAAATTTTGAACTTAATAGTATGATTTTTATTGGATCCATATAGTATTATCACTTTTCGGCGTGTTTTAGGACCGCCTATTCTCGCCGAAAAGCTGCGAAGTGGAGCTTCTTAGAGATCGAGGTTGTACCAATACGATATACACAAAAATTCACTCACGTTTTATTCACGAACATTATTCTGCTTATCAGCTTATAGATGTCATTAACATGCAGTAATAGTGATGATAATAGGGACTTAAGCATGTAAGACGGGAACACGACGGCAGCTATCAATACAATGCTTCACTGAAAAGAAATGAATTATTAAATACTTATGAGAGTTTTAGACGTGATTATTACGTCCCATGTATAGAACGGCGGCATTTCAGGACCCAGTGAGCGCTATACCTCGAATTAGGCTCTATAGAATTGTCTCTAAACGTAAACACAATGTTTTCAACGTTTTTTATCTATAACATTCACCATAACATTTATTTAAAGGAGTATTCCAACCACGTCGTCGTCGTGTTGCCGTCCTACATGCTTAAGGTCCCTGTTATTAGGAACCTTTCGCACTTGAGATGGCAACACGAGGACAACGCGGCTGAAATACGCTTTAAAAAGAGTAGTAAAGGTAAAGAGTATTATCAATCGTATCAATTTTTAAAATAAGGTATAAGACGTTAAAAACATTGGGTTTATGTTTGGCACAGTTCTATGGAGCCTAATTCGCGGCCTAGCGCTCGCGGCGTCCTGAGATGCAGACGTTCTACGCAGAGATTTGCTGTTGTCACAAAACGTGGACAACGTTTAAAACTTATTGGGGCTTTAATTATTCATTTCTTTTCAAATACCCATTCTATTGATAGCCGACGTCGCCGTGTTCCCGTCCTATTTGCTTAAGGTCCCTTTTATGGACATGATAGAAACGAATTTTAGGAACAACAAGAGATAAAACCATGGGTGTGGCTACAGTATATTGATGACATTTTTTTGTTTGGTTAGAAGGTGAGGATAAGCTATTAAAGTTTATGAATAGTTTTAATGAATTCCATCCCAGCTTGGAATTTACCTATGAGTACTCGCAGACCAAGGTAAATTTTCTTGATGTAACCAAACAGTGCGACAACGTGGAATTTCTAGCGGAAAAGCGAGGTTTGACGCAATAAGAGTATTGAATAGCGTGAGCGGAAATAAACTTGAAGTGAAATATTCTGAATGATTTTGTTTTTGTGTGTTTTAGGTTGGGTTTGGGGAAAAATGGAAAAATAATTGTATGTTAAAATGTATTTAGAAAAATTAGAAAGGTGTAGAGCGTAAATAAACGTTTCCTGTTAGTTCACATGATTGCACCTGAAATGTTGATTATGACATTATTGTCACACAAACTGTGATATGTTAGTAGGTGATTTATTGCAAATGGAAAAAAATATATCTATGTGCATATGCAAAGTCTGAACGCAGGAAACTACATTAGTTACTATATGTAATGAACAATTGCAGTGCATGAGTCGATATCATAATGTTTGATTTGCACATTATAAGCGAAGTATAAGTAAAAAGTTTTATGAGACGCATATACGACAAAGCATGTGGAATGTAGAACGAAAATGCAAGCGTTTAGCGTAATAGGAGCAATAGCGAGATAATTGTGAAGAGATAGGGGGGTATGAAACAAGTGGATTTCACAGTATACCTTTGCGTGTTTATTCACAAACACTAACCCAAGTTCGCGTGCACCAACATGGAAAAAGGTGTTCAGGTGTGCGTTAAATTGGCAAAAAAAGTTAAGAGAAGCGCCGAGACGCAATCGGAAATTTCGTTGTTTAATTTAAAAAGTGTTGGAACCCAGTGTGGGAAACAAGATTTTCTTGATAATGGAAGTTACAGTCGTGAGGAAAGGGTTAAGGCATGGACGTATGATCGATTAAAGTACGAGATGCTAGAAGGAAAAGAGAAAACAATACGCTGGTGCATGGACGAGGGATTAATTGCAAGAGAGCGACTTTGCAGTTATTGCAAGAAATCAATGAAACTGGTACAATGTGATGATCGTTCAGATGGTTTCAAATGGGAATGTAGGCGTCAAGAGAATGGAAAGCGGCACAAGGTTGAAATGTCAATAAGAAAAGACAGCTGGTTTGAAAATAGCAACATGACATTAGATGAAGTGTTAAAATTCACGTACTGGTGGTGCCGTGATATGAAACAAAATGAAATATACGTCATGAACTTGACATTGCTTCTAATACAGCAGCAGACTGGGACTCGTTCTGTCGCGAAACTTACGAAGTAACTCTTATTGAGCGAGAAGAGCAGATCGGCGGTCCTGGGAAAACTGTTCAGATAGACGAAAGCAAGTTTGGCAAGAGGAAATATCATCGTGGCCATCGCGTTGAAGGAGAATGGGTGTTTGGTGGCATTGAAGATGAATCTCGAAGAAGCTTTATGGTAGCAGTTGACAAAAGAGACGAAGCAACGCTTTTACCTTTAATTAAGAAACATATATTGCTAAAGAAACCACCATAGTTTCTGACTGCTGGAAAGCGTATTCGAAACTTGAACTAAAAGGGTTATCAGCACCGTTTAGTCAATCATTCAAAAGAGTTTGTGAACGAAGATGGTTTTTATACAAACAAAATAGAGGTCATTAGAGACAAGGAAAAAGCAAACTACCATGTTTTGGTGTGCGAAAGCTTGCATTCTCATCTTACCTGGCAGAATTTCTTTGGAGATATCGGAAAATAAGGGCAAAGACTTGTTTTCTGTATTTCTTAATGATGTTAAAAAAATATACGGTGACTTTTAGTATGCATGTTAATGTAAATTTTGCATATATACAACAATTATATATGTATTATATGTATTTAATTTTTGAAAAGTATATTTTGAAGTCTGTCATTTGTAAATTTATATGCATGGAATTTTTATACATCTTGTTTAGATTTCAATTGAAATTTTCACTAAATACATTAATTCCTGTCGTATATTTATTAAAGTGTTCGTTTAAATAGTTATTTAAAAGGAGTAAAAAGAATTATAGAAGTTTGTATAGGTGATAGGTGAGATTCTCAGATGAGATAACTGTGTAGACATGCGTTCGTAAATAATATGGCTGTGCTATGATATTGAATTACAACAATATTGAATGGAGTCATTTAGATGCGACTATTATAAAAATATATACGGCTATGCAATAAAGTCTAGAGGTAGTAGAGTGACTACGTAGTGATACGCAGTGAAGTGTAGGCATATAAATTGAATTTGATCATAGTTTTAGTAGGCAACTGGTAGTAACTAAATATACAGGCAATATCTATGCAGTGACATACTGTGAAGTGTACATTGAGTTTGATTATAGTTTTAGATTGGACTGCATAGCGAGTAGCCGCGCTTAAAATATACCGGCTACGCATTGATGCCTGGCTAGTGGAATGACTGCGTAGCCAGTAGCGACAATGATATCTACCTAGCAATATTACGCAGTAATTTGATCATAGTTTTAGATTCGACTGCGTAGCCAGTAGCCACTAAAAATAAGGCTATGCAGTGATATCTAGCTAGTGGACGGGTATTCTGCAATCTTGCCGGTCTAATACTAAAGAACGCATTCAAATAAACAAAATATTGCTTCAAATAATTTATAAGACGACACCAGTTTCTATACATGCCTTCATAGTGATAATTTGTGCCTCTCAATTACTAATACTGCACTATTATATACCAGATATACCCACCCAAATGCGCGTCTTGCCCTTGAGGTTTTATACGAGAGCCCATAAACCAATCCATATCCCGAAATAAAGTCTTTTAGTAATGTTTATTGACATTTCTAGTTGATTGAAGCAAATCAAATGAAAGTCACCTCATCAAATGAGAATTCAGCGGCTGAAATAAGCCGAAGATTTTTATATCAAAGCTATACCAAAGGAGTGTTATTGTGGTATGTTAGTGCAGTTTATATAGGCGGAACTAGAAATTTGAAGCTATACGTTTTCCGAGTTAGAACCGAGTCCTTTCTCATAATATGAACTAATCAGCCTAGTTCCTAGGCCTCATTGCGCAGGTTTTAAAAATCTGTGACGTCACCGAATGAAACCTGGGAAAGAGGCCTAGCACAAAATGCTTTCTAATCCAATGTTAACGGCTCATAACCGCCCATGTACGTACGGACTCGAGTTTTCTCGATAGTCGATAGCATTGACAGCGAATGACATTGCAACGTTTGTATGATCATGAATATTTCAAAGTCCTGGCAGCATAACTAATTTCCCGTAGTTTATTTCAAGCAAAATATTTGACTAAGATCGTAAACTAACTTCAATATAGAAAGTTTTAGCTAAAATAAACGTCGAAAGGCGTTTAGCTTAATAAACAGTGGATAAGCCAAAATTTAAAAATACTCTCATACAACTTGTGAGTGCCTGAACACGCATTTTATCAGTGCATTAAATACGTACTTCAATTGAAAATTAAGCTATTTACATCGAAATATCTCAGCTCATTTGTCCAATAAAGAGATAATTCTGTTTTCCATTTTGAACTTATCCGCCGTGTAAGCTAAACGCCTTTCGAACAACCGGCCCCTGGAGGTCAAATTTGACTTAGTTGAGATTATAGTTTTAGTTCACTGTATTAACTGATGCAAATACCTATACATGTAAATAGCATTACAACACATAAGTAAAATATGTTTAACAAAGAGGGAATGGTGAATATATACAATGTGTCCCAAAAAAAGTTTCTCAAAATTCTCATTGTTTTTTAAACCTTTCTTAAACGCGCGTGATTACGCACAACGAAATTTATTGAAATTATACTGTGTTATACTACAAAGACTCTGTTTTGTCAGTTGAGCCAAGTTTTCGTTGTAAGTGGACTTTTATTGTAATAGGAGTTATTTCAAATTCAAGAAGCTGATATCTATGCATCTGTTGATTTACCAATTATAATGATATTACCCTCTGGAATCGAAATGTGATGTATGTGCTGAAGTCATCTTTTCATCTGTTCTAATTCGTTTAAAAAAAGTTCTGGTAGTCTTAACTTTACAGATCCTCCTGGAAAGAAAGGTTTTTGCAACATTCCCGCTATGATAAAACACATTTTTCTAATCTTTGTAGTTTGTATCGCTCATATATAGCAACAAGGAATGTGTCTTTGCCCAACAGGTCGGCACGTGTAGGTAGATGTTTGTTTAACAAATGGTTTCATACCTTAATTGTCAATCCAATCACAAAGTATGAACCTTAATTGACTGACCAAGATCATCTTCATCATCGCTAATTTTATCTATAGTGTGTTTTCTTCTATATTAAACCGTGGCATGAATCTGTTATAAGTTACATTAAAATTATGATTGCCAGAAAACATAGCTGACTAAGTGGTATATCAGTATTATATACTAGCTCTTCTGACCAAGGTGCTTAGATCAAACGTCAATGAGTTTATTCTTTTGTCTATTTTAGTTACTGAATTTGATATGCTTCATTTTTTAATGTTATTGGAGAAATTCATCCACGAAGAAGCAAAGATCGAATATTCGAACTGCTCCGCGTTATACGAATATATAAATATAATACTTCTTACGTTACTTTGCAATTTATCCTATAAAATTAAGCCTATATATCAATTACAAGACGCCGAGATTTTTAGCAAAAAATTCATATTACTTGTTGATCAAATTGAACATTAGCCCGCGGAATTAGGGTTAAGAAACGAAAATCATCAAAATTTAAAGTTGAGGTTAAAAAAGTTATTTTGCTAGAATACAAGGAATGATTGTCAAAACTAAGAAAACAAATTAAAGCAATATTCTTTTCTAACTATATCACATGTAATTATAGTTAAATAAGTGACTTTCCATATTCTCCTTTGTGATAAGATAAAAGTAAGGCACTAGTAATTATTGAATTCTTTCTCTGATATATGCATGAACAACTTCTAGGGCCGGTTGTATAAAAAGTTAGACAACCTTTAGTGGCAGAATTGGCCAATCAGAATAATGTATTTTCTAGTTAACTACGATTAACTCTACAACCGCCCCCAGACGTTCAATTTATTCTTCTGTGTGTTAATTTCAATTATTCATTAGAAACATTAATATAATATTATACTAGCTGCCTCGTTTAACCGAATGGTTACTGCTGCTAGCTTGGATCTAAATTAGCATCCGAAAACCTAATGTAAATAATTTAATGAATGAATTGAAAAACGACAACGCACGACTTGTTATTAGGGATATTTATTTTTATATTTATACTGAATCACATGCAGAGACAAATTCGCAATGCATGCATGGGGATGTTTTTTTTTTGTCTCAAAGAACTCCTAAAAATTCCATGAATATTTTTATCGTACTTTTACTAAGAATGCTTTCCGTTGTTATGAGAACTGGGAAATGGCCTATAGTATAGCTAAAGGAACTAATTGCATGGGAGGGACGCTTGCATTTTACACAAGGTGTATATATAAACCAGCTATATAATCCAGCAATATAACATATATGCATATATGTCAGGAACTGCCTCCCTGTAGACCGTCGTCTATTTCCGAAAAAGGCTCTAGAAATGGAGTTTCGTTGCACACCTCTTTAAACTAAAAAAAAACTACGTGTTTCTATAGAATAAAATACGCTGAATTCAAATCCGGAAAGTTCCCGTAGTTTACTGCTGCAGTTTCTTTGCAATTTATGATAAAAATCGTTAAATTTACAGGATTTCGCAATAATATTTCTGAAAAATGCATCACCCACAAGTCGTAATCGGAGATGGGTTATCTCCGAACGCACTGCTTTATTAACAAAATTTCACTTCCAGCACATTTTGAGATATGTGATATTATAGACAAATAAACAAGTTCATGGTTCAGTTCGATTCAGCTAACAGTATAAATGAAAACATAAATTTAAGGTAAACAAACAGTTGTATGATAATACATCTTTGCTCAGTATTAAAATGTTTCAGCACTTATGTGTGATATATCTGCTACGCTGTTGTAAAAACTAAACAATATACAGTGCATGTAATAGTACTTGTGCACATGAACTAGTACGCTGACTATACTCAGCTTACGATCAGTTTTGTTAAATTTTGTAAAATGTGTTTTACAGAGAATATTTATATTAGACAGGGCAAATAAACTCTCAAACTGCTGTAACATTTGCAGCTAGTAATACCTATTTTATTAATTTTATACAATTTATACCAGAATCTAATCATCATAATCATCGCCTTCTTCCCCATACTCATATTCTAGAAACTGTGCTTCAAGTTCACTCAGTTCCTCCGCTGATTCATAGTTTTCACAGCCATTACACTGGCACAATTCAGTGCATTTTAAACCAGATTTGTGGCAAGAGCATCTGTTTGTTGTGCACCCTTTCTTGCATTTGCAATCAACATATTCAAGGATGCTCTCTGGTGCAGGAGGTTGTGTTCCCCATACAATTTGCAACTCACCTTCTTCAAGTTTCCAACCATATCCCACTGGTGAGGGTGATGCCAAAATTGGAATTGTTGCATGCTTGCGGACATAGGACTCAAAGTTTGCTCTGAGGATATGTTGATGGAGGCTGTCGGAATTTGGTGGGAGTGACTCTTCTGTGCATTTACCAAATTTAAACATTGTATAGCGTGCATCATTAATCGATTTGGCTTTATCTTGCCCATAAAGATAGCAAACATATTTTTCTAAGATTTTACCAAGATTTTCAGGGATGTTCACGTCTTCACCAAGAGTAGCGAATGCCTCTGAAAATTCCACACTATTTCTTGCTACTTTAAATGCTCGTACTTTACCTTTTCCAAAGAAAGCACTTGTTGAGTCAGAGCCTAGAACAGTAAAAAGGGACAAAATGATAGTATGATCACATTTAAGCTGTTACCTCTCTGATGATACCCTTTCAAGAAACCTTTTCAAAAGTGCTATAATGTATGTTTACCTGTAAATATATGAAAGCCAATGATTGCTTTACACCACAGAGTACCAAAATAGGCAGCAACTTCGTTAATGTCAATTCGTCTTTGATTGTTTCCAGTTCCTGTATCAAATATCAGCTTTGCATCAATGGTTGGTTGACTGGCAATAGCAATCACAAACACATCAGTGTCTGGACTCTTAATAACAACAGTGTCAACTGACTCTGCTGCATGATGGGCATGAACAAACATTCTAGTATCAGCTTCTTCATGATCGCATTCTAATTCTGAAATCTCTTCAGCAACAACAACACCAGCATCGCCAGCTGAATGAATTTTAATGCATTTCTCCTGTTTGGTGACAAAAAATTCCACTGATCCCAACCTGGAAAGAGGAGCCTTTTTCCACTCCTCTACAAGAAAGTCAATTAGTCTCTCCTTATTGCTTCCCACATTCATGAATTTTTTCCACTGTCTTGGTATTCTCTGTTGCTCACTTAGTATTGAGAACACATTTGTACCAGACGCAGCTCTGCTTGTTCTTTCAACATTTTTGTACTGATCTCAGGGTACCTGTCTGTAACAAAGTCCACACGTTGAGATTTGTTGAAAACAGCAATAGCAATTATCTTCTTCAGTAGTAATTCAGCCAGTTGCCCAAAATTTTCTGGGATGTCTTTGGTTTTCAACGCTTGCAGTAAGGCCATACCATCGATAATTGTGGCACTGTTTTGTGGAATCTGCTCAATCAATGGCTCTCCAGCCTCTTTCTCCAGAGTATGAAGCAGTTTAGACTTTGATGTCTTAACCAGACCACCGTAATCAGTTGCTAAGGCGCGCGGATATGCTCTCAGTGAGTATGTAAACACATTTTCAAGATCAATGTCTCGATTCTTTGCAATAACCAAAAGCCTTGCCCAAAAACGTGCATCATTTTTCACCGTAACCGTGGAACCAGAAGACGTTTTGACTTTTTTGGATTTTGACATGGATTTGAATGTTTTCAGTTTCATTGTTCCTATATTTGAAAAGATATCTGGTTCCTCACATAATAATCTATTGTGTAAGAAATCCTCAAGCTTTTGGTCTCCCTTATTGTATGCATTTTCACATCAGCTGTCGTTACTTCATCTGCTACCACTCCGCTGCAAATGTTGACCAGTTCTTTGGGACTGTCAGGACTGAATGGGTTTGACATGGATGACACTGTTGATATAACTTGCTTAACAGATTCTTCATGATTACTGCTATGGGTGTTATCAAGATCTTTACGCATTCTTAAAGAAATTACGCATATTAATAAGTTTATTTAATCAAACTTTGTATGTGTACTTGCTATAAGGAACCCTCTGTACAATTGTAAGGAACCCTCTGTTCAATTGTTATAGTATAACATCAGGAGTATACCTTTGTTCTTCTGCAACTCCTGCCATTAATTCACACTTCCTTGTTATTGCAGACCTGTCAGCTTGGGCAAGAATCCACCTGTTTATAGCTGCTCTATTTTGTGTTAAGCCCACAATTCCACCTTTAGTTTTGGAATCTCTGTTGCATGTTTGCTCTATTGCTTGATCACAGGCAATTGCGGAAAATCCATAATTTTGCTGGCGTTGAACAGTCCACTTTGAACTTAATTCAGCAGATGCACCTTAAAAAATAGCAGGAGCAATTTTGTTTACTAAGTGCAATTGTGTTCTGTCCTATATAAAGTGAACAGAAGATATTTATTTTCATCACTTTACCTGGATGAGTGTCATCCAAACAGATCATCTCCAGCCAGTATGTAGACATGTATCTTGCATAATTTATGCGATCATATGCAAAATACCAAGGCAGCATTGCTCTAATTGTAGATAAGTGGAGCATCCAGTCTGAAGTGCGTGTTGCTCTGATAAATGTTAACAGCAGGTATACCATGTCGATATAGGATGACCATAACTGAAAAGTAGCACTCCTCTGACTCTCATTTTCGATGAACTGCTGAAATGTATAAATTAAATTGCTTGTAATGAGTTACTGGCTTTCCAGTAAGGGTGGGTACACATGTTGCTCATCTGATTTTCAAAACAAGTTATGTCACTACTTGAAAATGTTGAATTCAGAATTTTACATAGTCAGACTAAATACATGAACATATTTTTAAAAAAGATTTTAAACTTATCTTTCTCCAATCTCTTGTATTGTGACATTTTCTACATAAGCATCGAAATGTTCTTTATTCAAGTTGCCACTTATTTCTTTCACTAAGCCAATGATTTCAGACTTTTGAAGAGTTGTTTGACTGTCTAAAAAAGCTTCAAAACGAAGTCTTTCCATCGCTTCAAAAACCAACTTGTGGGCACGAATGCATCGGTTATAGTGCTTGCCACTAAACACACCATTTAAAGATCCTTGTGCAACAATTTCAGATTCAATAAATATATCCTTTAAAGGAGTGAAAAAGTATATTTCAGTTTTATTTTTAAACACACTGTATTCTCTGGAGCAAATTTCTTAACCACCACCCAAATTCCCAACCCTGTTTTTAAAGGTAATAAAATTATCATAATCACACACTAACCTGCAAGCCAGCATCACGAAAGCGACATGCTATTGCTGTAGCATATGACATGCATGAATGGAATTCTCCCAAACGGACAATGAACTTTGACATAAATTCCTCATATTTCCATCGTACCTGTTGTACCTTAGCATAAACTGCTTCGTCAAAAATCAGCACTGCATATTGAAGCTGTAACTGATTGGCAATGTCTAAACTTCTTCTTAATATGCCAAAAATAGTTGCAAAGTCAGTAACTGGTGCATCTATAACAGGAAGATAACCAATTTTTGATACACTTGCAGGCTTTTCATTCATCAGTGTATTAAATCCTGTCCAACCAGGAAGTAGCACAGATAGGTCATCACAAAAGAATTTGCAAATAACATATATAAAGTCCAACATCAAACTTTGGTTTAGTATGGGCTTATAAGCAACCAAACTTGTGCTGATTTCATCTTCTTGTAAAAATTGCAATAACTTTGGTGATTCTCTCTTGCCTAAAACAAAAGTTTGCAGTGGTTCCTCAGGAGTCTTCAAAGATCGCACAGACTTTTTGATGGATTTAGGTCTAGGCCTTATGTTTGGTTCTTCATTGTCGTTTGTCTGCTGAATTATGATACCATTAGCCATGTGTGTAGTTCCAGCACCAGTTGGTGTCTCCTCAAGGAAATCAATATTATCCCAAACCATCATCGTGAATTTGCTTGGAATAATTCCTTCTGGTATGACCACTATGTTTCTTTTAGCTTGTAAAGCTAGAGCTGTATCAAATGACCGGATTGTTGGATGTGAAACTGAATTTCCAAATCCATTGAGAATTTTTGTGAGTTGATAAGATCCTGTAATCTGTCTAACTGCCATACCAAGAGCAAGGGATTTAGGTGTGTGCTTTCTACCATTTGAGCTTACATATATAATGTCTTGTGCAATGGAAAGCATTTTCAAATAATCCTTCTCCTTGAGTTTCAAATGTTCATCCATAGTTGGTACAGATGAAAATCCAAGCAACCATGAAAGGAAAAGTGCCAATGAAGGAGGAACCATTGTTGCAGCATTCTTTGTGGTGAGCTCAGATGGTGTTGGTGGCCAGCTTTGATAGAAATTGGTGCAATCTTTTATTTGGCCTTGAAGTATCATCGCAGCATGAAAAAGTGTTCTGAGTTGCTCTTCATCTTCATTCTTCTTGGATGTGGGTTGGCATATCAGTTGAAATTTCCTCCTGGCTGTCTTGACTATCTTCACTCTCATGGCTGTCATCTATGTTCATTTCTGCAATATCACCCTTGTTCAGACATTCACTGAAAACTAGTTCACTGATATTATTTTTTCCAGGTGTATGAAAAGTCAGTTCAGGGTATGTTTTCTTTAGTCTTGCCTTTAACCGATGTGCTCTATAGTTTGAGGCATCCAATCCTTCTTTTGTATTAACAGCCTTGACAAAAGCTTTCAACAGGTCGCGCATGAAAAGGATTTCTTTGTTTATTATCAGCCGTCTTTTGACAACCTCTTCACAGAAATACTCGTATGATTTCTCATAAACATTTCCTACTTTTTCATCAGTTTGCTTGTAATTTAAAAAATTTGTGTACCCAGCATAACATTTCTTGTGGTAGCATGCCTCAATTGCCACACAGTCTCGGTCCCTAATGTGGATTAAAATGGACTCATCTTTTTTTTCTCTGCTGCTAGTCGTAATTTACCTGCATCAAATGTCTGGCTTTGAGTCAATTTTTGAATTGTTCTTTTCTTGGTTACCTGGAAAAGTTACAGAATGATGTTTTAACCCATTAAGTATTAGCGCTCTCTCTTTGACAATTAATTGACCAAAGTAGGATGCATTAGGGTGCAATGCCAATCAATTTGTTAACTAGACAAAAAGGCAGATAGCAGTTAACTGATTAAGTGCTAATGCTCACCCCTTGATGAGTAAAATAATCTGGAATTAGGTGGAGTATACTAAAGTAGGACACATCAGGGTGCAATCTACCATGGTTCATTTAGTGCACTCCTATGTTAATAAACATTTGTTTCACTAACCGGGCAAGTGTACGTCAGTTCTTCTTTCTTGCATATTAAACACACTCTTGGTAAGACATGGGTGGATTTAGATCCAGCTGCAGCAGCTCGTGAAAGTCTACCTCGTGTCGTTGTGTATTCTTCTGAGTCAACCTTGGTTTTTTTCGCCGCAGGTTCGCTGATTTTGCTTTTGCCTGGTAAAGCTTTGGCGGAACGCTGTGCTCTCTCAATTTTAGTCTTGTCTGTAAACCTTCGGTAACAGTCGATGTGATATTGCAAGCTACGCTGGGGAATTGTTTCATCGCTAGAGAATTTTTCTTCGTCGAGGTCTGTAAAGTACTCTAGAGAGTTTACTGCTACCTCATTTTGAGCGCCAGTTAACGTCAACCATTGTTTCCGGCAATGTATAAATTTCGAAAGCGACACAGCAGTAAATTGTCGCAAGAATTCATTTGAAATATCACCAAAATGAATAATACATGAGGCTGCATTTTCCTCCATACTTGATTATTTCTCATGCAATGGTTCATGCATTGTTTACAACCAAGACAATTCACATATGTCAAAATGTGCTGGAAGTGAAATTTTGTTAATGAAGCAGTGCGTTCGGAGATAACCTATCTCCGATTACGACTTGTGGGTGATGCATTTTTTGGGAATCTTATTGCGAAATCCTGTAGATTCAACGATTTTTATCATAAATTGCAAAGAAACTGCAGCAGTAAACTACGGGAACTTTCCGGATTTGAATTCAGCGTATTTTATTCTATAGAAACACGTAGTTTTTTTTTAGTTTAAAGAGGTGTGCAACGAAACTGACACTTTTTGCCCATTAGACGACGGCCTACTGGGTTCCCAACACAAAAAAAGCATTTATAAATCCCATCATTTTCCCTTTTTATTTACGAAACTGCTTTCACACAACTCACATTTCTCCCTTTTCCTCAAGTCACAGTTTTCCGGTTTAAACCGGAACTATCCGAATGTCTAA